TTGCTGTGAGCTGTGATGCCACGGCACTCTACCCAGGGGGACAGCTTGAGGCTCTGTCTCAAAAGAAAAGAAAAAAAAAAAAAAAAAAAAAAAAAGAAGTAGTTACTAAAAGTAAAGTAATTGGCAATACCTCATCAGTCTTTTGTGTACCAAGATACAACTGTTCGGCTCTTATCCTAACTCACGTTTGGATAGCCTTAAAAAATCATTTCCTTTTAAATTATACCCATTCTACTTTCTATCCTGGCCCATCATGTGTTATATGTTATGTTTTGAGGAAAATATTATAAAATAGTTTATATACCCAAACAAATATGTATAGTTAGTATGAGTTAGTATGTCTTATTTACTATTTATTTCTTATGTATCTAAGATGATTTTTTCAAGTTTATAATTTTTTCATTATAAAAGGCATATAGATACACTTCAGAAAATAATAAAGAGGAAAAATGCTAATATTACCTACTGTCCCATTGCAGTATTTTGTGGTATTTGTCTCTAGGCCCCCTTCTTTTTCTCGTACCTTGGTCTAAGAACATAGTTAATGCAGTTAAATCTCAATACAACTGTTAAAAACATACTTTTAATCATGCTAGATTTGCTATTTTTGCATTCTTTCTTTCTCATAAACTTCATTCTTGGTGATTATACAGAAATAGTCCACAGTTTATAGCATTATTTTTTCGTGTAACATTTACATTATTTCCCAGTTTTTGCTGTTATGCTACAACATGCGATTTTCTCTGGACTTAACAATTATCTTCTTAGGAAAGATTAACAGACTTGGAATTATTGGACCAAATTATACAAACATTTTAAAATCTATTGATTTACATTGATAAATAGTATTATATACGGTAGTAATTTTCACTTTGTAGCATAAGTATATTCATTTTAAATAACCTTACTAGTTTAATAAGAAGAATATGCCTCATATATTCATTTGCCTTGTTGATTACTAGTGATTTTCACCAGTTTTATTTCCTATTTTTTGAATTGACTATTTCTATTATTTATTTACCCATGAATTGGAGCCTACTTATATAATAAAACTGACCCATTTTTTGTCATAACTACTGACAATACTTTTTCAGCCATTTGACTGTCTTTTTATTTTTAACACATATTAGTTTGTGTTTAAATACAAAGGGTGCCAAAAAACTGTATAGATATTTTAAGAGATGTTATCTATGTATTACTTTTTGAATTGAAGGTACCATTACTGATCAAGTGTACCTAGACATGCTCTGCACAACCATTTTACCTGCTTTTCATGCACTTTTTGAAAATGATGGATTTTACTTCCAACAAGATCTCTTAAAATTTGTATACATTTTTCTGGCACCCCAAGAATATGATCTTCAAATCCTGTATAGTAAAAAAATCTATCAGCCTTTTTCTTTTTCTTTGAATGCTTCTAAAATTAAACACTTTTCTTTCCCCCACATCCAGGTTTTGTAATTTAATTTTATTCTCTTCTATTTAACCAATATATTGAGTAGTCATGATCGCTTTAAGAAACAAAGCCAAAAGTAAAATGAATAGCAAAGATGTAGCATAAAAGAAACAAAATTTTACTTAAAGTTCAAGTTGTAATTGAGCCATTCACACAGTGGGTGTGCTGTGTACCCTTACATTGTGCACATTAGGTGATCGCTTATAATTACCCTGCCTCCTTCCCTTTCTTCTTTCCCTCTTCTCCCCCCCCACACTTGAATTCAGTTGTATTTTTCTCTTATGTGGGCATGTAGTTGTTTATCTATTGGTTTCTTATAAAGTATTGAGTACATTGGATACTTAGGTTTTCATTCTTGTAATATTTTACTAAGAAGAATTTGCTTCAACATCCAGATAAATACAAAAAATGTAAAATCTTCATCTTTTTATGATATTCCATTAATAATTATTAATCCATTCAGGAGTTAATGGGCACTTGGATTAAATTCATGTCTTAGTGATTGTGAACTGAGCTGCGATGAACATTCTAATGCAAATGCAAACAATGTAACCTAATCATTTTTACCCTAATATTAATCTAAAAAGAAATTTTTTTTTGAGACAGAGTCTCACTATGTTGCCCTTGGTAGAGTGCCATGGTATCACAGCTCATAGTAACCTCAAACTCTTGGGCTTAAGTGATTCTCTTGCCTCAGCCTCCCAAGGTGCTGGGACTATAGGCACCCACCACAATGCCCAGCTATTCTTTTTGTTGTTGTAATTGTTGTTTAGCAGGACTGGGCTGGGTTCAAGCCCACCAGCCCCAGTGTATATGGCTGGTGCCCTAACCACTGAGGTAGGGTGCTGAGCCAATCTAAAAATTTTTTAAAACCTTTTTTGAAGGCTCGGCGCCTGTGGCTCAAGTGGCTAAGGCGCCAGCCACATACACCTAAGGTGGCAGATTCAAATCCAGCCCAGGCCCGCCAAACAACAATGATGCTGCAACCAAAAAATAGCCAGGTGTTGTGGCAGGCACCTGTGGTCCCAGCTACTTGGGAGGCGGAGGCAGGAGACTCACTTGAGCCCAGGAGTTGGAGATTGCTGTAAGCTATGATGCCACGGCACTCTACCCAGGGGAACAGCTTGAGGCTCTGTCTCAAAAACAAAAAAAAAAACCTTTTTTGAAAATACTTTTTTTGGTTAAAAATATTAACACAGTGATGCCACATGTAAAGTGCTCAATAAATGGTAGTTATTATTGGCATGGTTATTGCCTGGACTTCAGATTCAGCTGATACCTTCGCTCATGATGTATCCTTGGATGATGTATAAAAGTTCTTGATAAGTTTTAAACGATGATTCAAAGAATAGTAGTAGTATCTAGTAAAATAAGAGTGCATAGGAAAATCAATATGTACTAAGCACTTTATATACATTATCTTTTTTTTTGAAACAGAGTCTCACTGTGTCTGCCTCGGTGGGTACCCTGGTAGGTACTGTGGTGTCACAGCTCACAGCAACCTCCCAACTCTTGGGCTTAAGCAATTCTCTTGCTTCAGCATCTCCAGTAGCTGGAACTACAGGTGCCTGCCTCAATACCCGGCTATTTTTTTGTTGCAGTTGTCATTGTTTAGCGCAGGCCAGGTTCAAACCTGCCAGCCTTGGTGTATGTGGCTGGCACCGTAACCACTGTGCTATAGGCACTGAGCCAACATTATCTTGTTTAGTTCTCACAGTAACTTAAAAATAACTTAGGTTAAGATAATTACTGTATGTCTTTTGTGAAATCTCACACATTTGTTCCCTGCCTCAGGAGCCCAGCCTGGAGAAAAATAATCAAATTCATGTTGGGGGTGATTTATAAACTCTCACCTAAGAAGCACAATGTAAGGGTACATGGCACACCCCTTTGTTAAAGGGCTTAACTACAACTTGGACTTTACCTAACAAATGGGAAACAATGTAACCTAATCTTTTGTATACTAACATTAATCTGAAATTTAAAAAAAGAAAGGAAAACAAAATTTTAAAGGCTTTCAGTTGCCAATTTGGGAATCTGGATTAGGACATAGTCCACATTTATTTGTAAATCCTGTGAATTTGTGATGGGAGAAAGGTCATGATGCCTTTACTTGGGAAACAAAGGAAGAAAGTAGGAAAGAATTAAGTATAAGATCTATAAACAACTTTAGGTATATCTAAGTGTGAAGTACAAAGAACTGATGATTCCAATTTTTAAGTGCATATATGTATAATTATATATTGTATAAATATTTAAAACATTTTATACATATACCCTTAAAATATTAATAGCAGTCTCATTTGTGGAGTAAAATAGAGGAAAATGAGGAAAGGGCAGGGAACCTGTGGCTTTGGGGCCACATGTGGCTTTCTGGATCCTTGAGTATCGCCTTTAATAGGATTTGTTCTGTGAAGTTTAGATTTCGTCAAGGGGCCACACTTAGGGATCTGGAGGTCCACATGTGGTCTTCAGGCTGTAGGTTTCTTATGTGCTTAGCAATACGTCTCAAGGTATTTCCATAGAGTAAGCTAATTAAATAAGCTTTCATTTAGCTATCTGGGCCATTAATATTGAGGAAGAGAGGCGGGAATAATGGCTTTTAAAATTTAACATTAGGACTAAATCCTATGTGGCCAAATTTAATATTTGCTATCCTTCAATTAACTAACTTTTTATTACCATATTTCTAGAACAGTACATTGAAAAAATGTTAAAGATAAAAGAGGTTATGGATAATGTGCTTGCCAAACAGAAAGCAGAAAGAGATGATCTGGCTAAAAAATACAGGTGAGTGAAAAAAATAAGAGTGCTTTAGAGTATCTACAGTTTATTTTTAGCTGCAATAGTGAGACTTAGATTTTCTTTTAAAATACAAACATTGTTTAAGACAAAAAAATGACTTTATGGGGTTGTCTGTTCCCTCAATGGGGGAATTATAATTCCTGGAAAGATTTTTTTTTTACTTTATTACTTAAATATTCAGAAAAGAGCATTTTTAATATCTTAAAAGTTTCTCTACAGTGAAGAATTTCATGAAAGCCCTTCTGGTCATAAATCCCACAAATAAATTTCTTTCCTTAATTTATGCACTCTCAAATTTTCTACATTGAAAGTTTTTTCTTTCTGCTATCACAAATTTTGTCCTTCTAGCAGTTGATTAATTGGGTGATTAATTTCATGTTTTAGTATATTTTCAGAATCTCAGGGTCTTTAAGGAAGGAGTTTTATCTGGATTATATTGGTTATATACCTCTGTTCACTCTTTTCTTGAAAAAAATGTTACGTAATTCTTTTCTTGATAGGCATTATTTTTATTAGTTTTTTATAGACTTGGCTATATACACATAAGTCCCTTTTTTTTTTTAAGGATAGACTCTCACTATGTTGCCCAGATTAGAGTGCTGAGTCATTAGCCTACCTTACAGCAACCTCAAATTCCTGGGTTCAAGTGACCCTTCTGCCTTAGCCTCCCAAGTAGCAGGGAGTAGAGGTGCCCACCACAATGCCCAGATAATTTTCTTATTTTTAGTAGAAATGGAGGCTTACTCTTGCTCAGGCTGGTCTCAAACTCTTGAAGTCAAGCGATCCTCCTGAACTCAAGCTTCCCAGAATGCTAGGATTACAGGCATGAACCACAGTGTCCAACTCTTATATCCCCCTTTTTATTTACATTTAATACTTCTAAATGTTTTCTTATGCATTCTTGTCTTACAATCATTACATCTATTACATATTCAATTTTTTCTAAACTTATTTAACAGTTGTCTGTTTGTACTTATAAATCTACTCTTTTATCCCTATTTTGCCTTCCTCTCCGCAGAATAAGTTCTACTGTTTCCTGACTTATTTTCCTGTCAATATAAAGCAAGTGTATGATCTACAGATAGATAATTGACTATACAATATTTTCTAGGGTCTTTGGAAAGGCTTGTTTCAATATTTCTTTAGTTTTCTATGGCTAATAATGGAATTTTGGTAAATTCCTGATCAATTGGAGTTTTAGGTGCATGTAAATTCTTATTAGTATTGCTATATGACTTTACATCTTGGTATGGGTATCTAAAGAGAGCACCTTTCTGTGTTTGTCTGAACTCCTTGTTTTATGTAATTTAAGTATGATAATATTTATTCCTTTTCCCCCTTCTCTTCTGTATAACATCTGCATTTTATACCACCAGTTTTTCCTAAACCGATTTCTTCTTGCTACTATTTCCACTTACATATACCACTTATAACATCAAGCCTGCTGGGAGTTTAATGTCAACAACTTTAAACTTTGATAGGAGAGGCAAGATAGCTATGCTACAGGTATTGCTTTTCCTTAAAACAGTGGTCCAGAGACCCCTGGTAGGTCTCTGAAACCAGGGGGTCTGTGAAATCAAAACTATTTTTATAGTAATACTAAGATGTTATTTACCCTTTTGGCTTTCATTCTCTCATGAGTGTACAGTGGAACTTTCCAGAAGCCAAGTGATATATGTATAATAATATCATTACTCTAAAGGCTAATAAAATGTGTGCTTGTGTATTCTTCTGTTTTAAAAAAATTCTCAGTTTTGGCTAGGCACAGTGGCTTACACTTGTAATCCTAGTGTAATCCCAGTCCAACCTCTGGGAGGCTGAGACTTGAGCCCAGTAGTTTGAGGTTGCTGTGAGCTACGATGTTGCCTCTGTACTCTAGCAGGATGACAGACCAAGACTTTGTCTCAAAAAAAAAAAAAAAAATTTTTTTTTTCAGTTTTAATTTCTAAAACAGTAACTATTAATAGATATAATACATATACACAAAAGCGCTTTGGATTCCTTAATAATTTGTTTGTTTTGCTTTGTTTTTTTTAAGACACTCAGTTGCCCAGGCTGGAATATATCAGCCTAGTTCACAGCAACCTCAAACTACTGTGTTCAAGTGACCCTCCTGCCTCAGTTTCCAGAGTAACTGGCACAGGCACCTGCCACAACACCTGGCTAATTTTTCTATTTTCAGTAGAGATGGTGTCTTGCCTTGCTCAATTTGTTCTCAAAACTCCCGAGTTCCAGTAATCCTCCACCTCAATCTCCCAGAGTGTTAGGATTATAGGCGTGAGCCACTACACCTGTCTTTCCTTAATAATTTTTAAGAGTGTAAATAGGTCCTGAGGCCAAAACGTTTGAGAACCATTAGAAACAAAGTGTCTAATAGCCTGAAGGTCAGTGTAGGGATGGGTGGGCATAACCAAAAGACAGAGGTATCGAGGTGTGATAAGCCATTTCTTCTTTGTCAGTCCTCAGGATCAAATTTAGTTTGAGGATCTTCACAAGATTATGTTTGTCTAGGTAGTCCCTCTAGACTTGAAAATGGCCCAACACAAGTTCAAAGTGCAATTATCATAATTAATTGTGAACTGACACTTCTTACTTCCAGCTGAGGTATGATTATTTACAAAACAATCCTTTGTAACTAAGAGAACCTGAGTGGAACTTGCAGATTTTACTTCATAGTATACTTTTCACTTGAAACAGGTAAGCCAACCCCAAACTTAAAGAGTGGTAGGCCTCCTTAGCCACCCTTCGCTACCTTCCAGCCAAAGACTAATAAGATATAGCTGAAGTTCTATTTGTCTTTTAGGGTTCACCCAGAACTGATAAATAATAATATGACTATAAAATTTGGGTAACCAAACAATTGCCTCCTTTAAAAAAAGCAAAATCACTTCCCTTAAATAAAGGAGTCAGTTTCCTCTCAAAGGAAATATATTGTAAAATTAGTCTTTTATATATTTTGAGCTGATTAAAATTGAGACAGAGTATTTTTAACATGTAAATTACTGTTAAAACAATAAAGGTTTCTACTGTTATTGCATTTTTTCCCCTCTGTTTCTTCCTATAGGGTATCCATAGAGTCATTTAAGCATGGAGCTTTGAGAGAACAACTGGCTGACCTGGCCACAAGACAGAAGAGACTTCTAGTTGCAGCCAAAAAACAGAAAGAAATAAGCCTGAAAATTCAAAACTATAAGAATGTTACATTGCTATCTGGTCTCGATTTAAGGAAGCTGCCACCCAGCTCAGAAACCTCCAGTGAAAAAGAAAGCCAAGAGCCTACCAGTCTCGAAAATTCAGTGCAACCCCAGTCACGTTCACGTTCTGCTGTCAACTTTGTTTGTGGAAGCATGCAGGAAACACAATTGTCTCTAGAAACTTGCAATTACAGCCACACTACCAACATTTGTCTAAATTCAGAAGCAGTGAGAAGGGAAGAATTTTCTGGAAATGAGGTGAATTCTAAACAAAATGCCAACAATTATACCTTGGATGCGTTATCAAAATCCAGATGTTCAGGTGACACTGAGATTAAATTGCCATCTCAACCTGTTGCTTTTATTCTTCAAACGGAATATACACAAAAAGAAAATGATCTTACAGAAATTACAGCCAAAGAGCATGAAGTCTCTAGTCCTTCTACAGTAAATGGCCCATTGAATATTTCAGAAACCACAAGTGTACTTGCCCAAAACGATGCCCATTTATCAACTGTTATTTGTGATCAGGACCTTTCCAATGATCCAAAAAGAAGAAACAGAAAGATAGCTTTCCAGCAACCACCTAGGGAGGCATCAGAATCCTTGGCACATCAAGGGATTGCTGTTTTAGGTACAGCACATCAGATGAAATCATGTCTTAAAAAATTAGCTTCTACTAATCCACTAGCAAAGGACAGCCAGATCTCTTCCTCTGGGTTTGGACATCAACATACTATAAAAAAGCCTTTAAACTCCAGTACAGCTCCTAAGAAGAAATGTATGCAGATAAAAGATTTGATATTACTAGGAAGAATTAATCCAGGAAATAACATTCTGGAATTCAAAACACAGGTATCCTATTATTTCTTCCTCTAAAAGTATGCAAATTTCATAAACAAGTAAGTAAATGTGACTATCACATGGTGCACACAGTTTAGCTCTGATTGGGTAAATGGGATTGGTTAGACTAAATGGAAAGACACAACCATTGTATTATAAAGCAAGTGAAATCATGCTTCTGGAATTGCCCCATGCATTTTAAATACAAGCTTCTTCTCAGACCAGAACCAGATTTTGTTGCAGCAAGAAAGTTTTTTCTTTTTTTTTTTTTTTTTTTTTTTTTTTCAGACAGAGCCTCAAGCTGTCCCCCTGGGTAGAGTGCCGTGGCCTTACAGCTCACAGCAACCTCCAACTCCTGGGCTCAAGC